GTCTCATCAGTCTTTTCCAAAGTGCTGATGAGTTACTCCAAGTCTCTACATTCATCTCATTTGACAACACCTGATTTACACTGACCTTAAAGCTGTTTTGGCCAACTCTATTATTCATATGAATGAGTGATTATTCTATTATTCATACTACAATTTATTAATGTTGCATTCATATGTCAACCATACCAACCTGTCTCATGTCTCCAGCAGAAAGTGGAAGACACAGTTGAGAAGTTGGAGGCCGAGCTTGCTGCTCTGCTGGATGCAATTGAAGCGCCAGAGTGGCACCCCCTGTTGGACAATACAGGAAGTATATCTGTGGACATCCTGGAAGGCCCAGGGCAGAGGAGCTAGTCCTAAACCAATCAGACACCCATTCAAGAAGACTCTTGATCTTTGAAGGATTAAATATATGACAACATGTTTTAGAAAATGTGTGGATACATATACTGTATCTATATATCAAAATGAAGTGTTTATCTTAGCAGAGAAAACTGTTTTTGCAACAAGCCAAGCTTGTCTGCATTATTCACTGCTGCTAATCCTGTGACAGCCTCATCTCTTGCCAGTCTTAACTTACAGCCATTAGCGGCACACCTCATGTTTACAATGTTCTTCAAAGAGATTAAATTCACCTTAGACATCTCTTCTCAGTTAATTCTCACCCCTGCTCTTCATCATCATTTACTATCTGCAGACAAAATTGTGCCTTTATTGGTGTATCCAAGTGTAAATGACAAATACATAGAAGAATAATAACTGGAAGGAGTTTTATTTCTTTATCAAAGCTGTTAAAGCAGCACATTTTAAACACAGAGCAGTACACTAACAAGGCTTTCACAGATTCCCTTTAAAAGTCCTATGGTACAAGATTATGCAAAACCAGATCATGAGGACAGCAAGAGTGGTATAAATAACTTTATTGTCTTGATCTGTTTTCTCAACAGGGCACTGCAATTCAAACTGTATCCAGAGAGTTTAGACATCTGCAGTATGGTAGACCTCAAAAGCATCAATCAGGAAATGGTTGAATAGAAGACATGCCACTGCTGGTTCAACACTAGCACAATGTCTTTTTTTTTTAAACACCTAACAGCATCCAGAACATTAAGACATAAAGATGCATATCATGAGGGTTTTCAAGCACGGTCTAGTTAAGAATTATCGCTCATATCAAGGAACAAATGCTAAAACTGTAGAGTAGTAGTGCAGCTTAGGGAAAACTAAACTTAAATTAAATGCCAAAATTAGTTATCCATTTACAAATGATTTACACATAATGACACGTTTGCTTTAAATCTGTTGATTTTGATGTTCTTTAGATGGATTTAATGAGTTTTTTCCACTTTTTTCCCATGAATGGAGAAATTCTGTTTTAATAATGCACAAAATTTTGTGTTGGGGTGAAGTGACAGTCTGACCCATTTCCTCTTCCTTAGTTGTATACAATAACACAACATATAACCCACAACAGAGCATCACACACAGCTGCCGACCTCATTCCACTCATACAGCAAAGGCCTGTATACTTGAACAAAGCATCAAGACAACCTGCAGGATGCCAAAATGTACTGCATATCATCTATAAATATCATGCTGTTCATATAACACTGGGATTATACAATTTTCTACAGTTTCAAGTCACTGTCCAGTAATGGTCGAACAGGCCAGTTATACTCTGATTTTTGACTGTCTCGAACAGGCCAGTTATACTCTGATTTTCAGTAAGTAATCAGGTGAGCAGGGAGGTATGCTATTACCAAAAAGCTTGTACATGCATAAATCAGCCAGTAAGACTCAAGTTCAGGCTTCAGTAAAAATTAGTCTTATACTGTAGAGGTACATGCAAAGAGCACAGGGTTTAAGACTATTACAGTTCTCATATACTTTGGCAAACTTGGAAAATGCCACTTTATATCCCTTCTTAATCTAATCATGATGTATAGTGTTTAAAGAAATAGTTCACCGTGTTGCTTGCTGAGGGGGAGATGAGAAGATTGTTATAACTCTTGTAGTTGAACATTCTCTGAAAGCTAGAGCTGGGAGGTGAGTAGCCTAGCTCACTAGTGGAGCCAGAGATCGTAGTGTAGGTGGGCCTACAGAAAATTGGGCGGGCCTCTTCCAAGACCAGTACCTCATTGATACCAGCCAAAATCACATAATTACAACCATCCATCCATCATCCATCCATTTTCCTCCGCTTATCTGGAACCGGGTTGCGGGGGCAGCAGTCTAAGCAAAGATGCCCAGACTTCCCTCTCTCCAGACACTTCCTCCAGCTCCTCCGGGGCAATGCCAAGGCATTCCCAGGCCAGCCGAGAGACATAGTCCCTCCAACGTGTCCTGGGTCTTCCCCGGGGCCTCCTCCCGGTGGGACATGCCCGGAACACCTCCCTAGGAAGGCGCCCAGGAGGCATCCGAAACAGATGCCTGAGCCACCTCAGCTGGCTCCTCTCGATGTGGAGGAGCAGCGGTTCTACTCTGAGCTCCTCCCGGGTGACCATACCTGCCTATTTTTCAGCAGTTTATCACAAGCTGCAGCATTACAGGCACCAAGATGAACAAAGCAAAATGGCCAAACAACTTGTCAAATTCATGCTTCACCTTATAATGCACCTGTTTGGGTGGGTCTGGGTTCCAAGTGGGTGGGCCCAGGCCCAGCCACAGCTACACAACTGGCCTAACTTAGCATAAATTGCAAGAAGAGAATCAAATGGCTGACAGATGCAGCTGAACTAGCACTAATCACGATCTGCTAGCATGTTGTCTGGCACAGTCGCCCTGTGGTATTTACTGACAGTGAATTTATTACTGTAGTGCTACAATGCCCAATATAAATCACCATTTACTGTATGAGTTTTTGGCAAAACTGTAAAATGCATACACTATACTACAAATTGATTACTGAAGAGGTCATACAGTACAAAAGTGATAACATAATTTATGTAGGCTACTGAAAGTTTTCTAAACACTATAAGGTTTTGTTGACGTGTAGCCAAGTTACCAAAAATTGTTACTGTACTGTTAATGTAAGATGAAGCTAGCCTGCTTTTTGTAAAGTTCAGTCTCCATCCATCACACTTCTAGCTCACAACACATTCTATCTCCGTTTTAAAATATGTACACAAATAAATTACCTGGTGGTACTGTCTCTTCAAAGAAGTTATTTTCTATTCATCCAGAACTTATGTGATGTAGTTCCAGAAATTTATGGCACCTGGCTGTTGTTAGACAAATGTGAATTCCCCTGAAATCAATTGTCATTTTAGATAACAGTTTGAGCTTGACTTAAAATCACAAAATACAACTAGTGAGCTTTTAAGCTAGGCTAGTTGCCCATTAGCTCCAGACATTGGAGCAGTATCAATATTTTCATGTAATTCTTGTTAAGATAATGAGTGGCCATATTTCCCAAAATGTTAGTTACTTTAAGGTACCCTCTTACTTGAAATAGATAATCTATACATAATCACAATATGACTGTGTAAATGATATACATTTCTTTACTTCCAGGGGGAACACTGACTTTATGCTATATTGGGAAACAAAGACATACATTCACACACACAAAGGTCCTTAGAAATGGTTATGCAAATGGTAGAAAAGCTTTGGCATATTTTGCCTACGAGTAGTGACTGCACACTTGGAAAGAAGAGCAGAGCGAAGCAATACAAAACTTCACCCAGCTCTTCCTTTAGTTTACATGTCCAGTTCACAGTCCCACATAAAACTGTGGTGAGTTTAATTACCTACACTGTATACTATTTACATGGTTTTCATTTTATTAGGCTTTAGGGTATTAAGATGGACTTTTGCTACATGTTCCCAGGTTAAGACTGAGATTTATGGCGCCACCTTAACTGTGCCACTATCATTTTGACAGTAATAGACTAGGCCATCTATACAATTAAGTACACATTTAAGTATAGCCCAAAACAACTCTATAGAGATATTATACAAACAAAATACTTAATTCCAAGCAAACAGAGCTTTCTAATGGATTCTTAAAGGATGTGATTGTTGGTGATTGGTATAGTATTTATCTGCTCCCCAGAGCAGAATTTCTGAATGCTCTCTGAATCAGAGTAGAGCTCTGGCACAGAGCTTAAATACTCCATCTACTACATCTTGGTAACCATTACACAGTGACAAGAAAAACTTTTCATTCTGATTGCTGTACTGATTTCCCATAAATCACATCATCCCAAAAAGACTTGGAAAAGAATAGCTGGCTAATGCTTAGAGGGAAATCAAACTAGCATTCTGACCTACAGCATAATAAATCCTTAGCTACATCATGATTGATGAATGAATGATCATCATCAACAGGCACCACTTTAAACAGGTTTACAACATGAAACCAGCCACGCTGTCTTGGCTGACTGGAAGCAGCCACAAACACTTAGTGTAGCTGGGTCTCAGAAAGGTGTTGCAACAGGATGAAGGTGCTCAAAGATAGAATGAACAACAGTTGATTTAAATTAGAGAACATGTTACATGAAAGAGGCTGAGAGAAGAGTGAACTGAACACAGTGACAATAACATGAATTGAGAGCGTATGCTGAATAATTCAGTCATCCCTATCAGATTTTGGGGAGGTCATCTCCAACCAAAACCATCAAATCCACAACAGTCGCAGGCTGCAATTGCTCAGGAGTTTTCTGCTCCTGAACCACACCTTGTAGTAAGTGGTACCATATTTGTCATGCATTACTGTAACATTGCATAGTAGTTAGGAGTAACTCTAGGGCAATTGGATACAACAGGCAGGGACTCTCTGGAAATCTGCTTCACTCATGCTTTACTGGAAGGATGCTACAGAAAAACAAGAGAGGGAAATGATGGGTCCTGGGTCCTGCTGTGCGTCAGGTCACCCTGCTGTGCACTTCTTCTGCTCTTGGCTACAACAAATGACAGAGGCGAGAATGTATTTATTGGCATGGCACAAACACTGCAGCAGCCAGAGAAACCTGCGACTGTCACTGTGAGGCAAGGTAATGCTAGCAACTGCCGGGGGAGGAGCAGACCGAGCCGCACATGCTCAGTTTAGACGAGGACTCAGGGTCTAAGCAAAGCTCTGGATCTGGCTCTGGATCTGGCTCCAGTGCATCATCATCAGTGGTCCCAGCTCCGGCCTCCCTGTCCCCATCTCTGCTGACATCATCACCCCCGACCTCAGACTGACCCTCCTCCTGACGCTTTTTCAACCTGAGATGGATGAGGAAACAGATGTAAAAAGCCACATAATTTTACATGTGCATGAATATGTGCATACACACATCAATGTAAATCAGTAAATATGATTTCTAATTTTAAACTTTAACCTTATGGCAGCTAAACTATCATCTTAGTTTTATGTTTTGCTAATGTCCCTATCTTTGTGAGCACATGTGGGCCTCAGAGAAGAACTAAATTCAAGCATAATCACAAAACAGCTACTGTAGTAGTTGAATGCAATGAGGCCTTGAGTCTGTTATAGTGTGCTTATGTCTGCTCTGCATTATTCCAGATATTATTGCCTCCATTATAAACAGATTACCATTAATTAGAGAAATAGGACATAAGACACTTCTTACACAGAAGGACTTCCATAACCATGCAGTGGCAGTACCTGGTTAATAATAAATGAGGCAGTAATTCAGAACAGCACTGAACCAATATTCCTCCTTGTACACCGCAGAGACAACACATATTTTATGATATATAGTGCTTATAGTCTTTATTTATGATGTCCTGTGTATATTTTATATATTTTACTGACATAGTAAAATTAATTCCTGTCTATACAGTACAGTGCCTTGCGAAAGTATTCGGCCCCCTTGAACTTTGCGACCTTTTGCCACATTTCAGGCTTCAAACATAAAGATATAAAACTGTAATTTTTTGTGAAGAATCAACAACAAGTGGGACACAATCATGAAGTGGAATGAAATTTATTGGATATTTCAAACTTTTTTAACAAATAAAAAACTGAAAAATTGGGCGTGCAAAATTATTCAGCCCCTTTACTTTCAGTGCAGCAAACTCTCTCCAGAAGTTCAGTGAGGATCTCTGAATGATCCAATGTTGACCTAAATGACTAATGATGATAAATAGAATCCACCTGTGTGTAATCAAGTCTCCGTATAAATGCACCTGCACTGTGATAGTCTCAGAGGTCCGTTTAAAGCGCAGAGAGCATCATGAAGAACAAGGAACACACCAGGCAGGTCCGAGATACTGTTGTGGAGAAGTTTAAAGCCGGATTTGGATACAAAAAGATTTCCCAAGCTTTAAACATCCCAAGGAGCACTGTGCAAGCGATAATATTGAAATGGAAGGAGTATCAGACCACTGCAAATCTACCAAGACCTGGCCGTCCCTCTAAACTTTCAGCTCATACAAGGAGAAGACTGATCAGAGATGCAGCCAAGAGGCCCATGATCACTCTGGATGAACTGCAGAGATCTACAGCTGAGGTGGGAGACTCTGTCCATAGGACAACAATCAGTCGTATACTGCACAAATCTGGCCTTTATGGAAGAGTGGCAAGAAGAAAGCCATTTCTTAAAGATATCCATAAAAAGTGTCGTTTAAAGTTTGCCACAAGCCACCTGGGAGACACACCAAACATGTGGAAGAAGGTGCTCTGGTCAGATGAAACCAAAATTGAACTTTTTGGCAACAATGCAAAACGTTATGTTTGGCGTAAAAGCAACACAGCTCATCACCCTGAACACACCATCCCCACTGTCAAACATGGTGGTGGCATCATCATGGTTTGGGCCTGCTTTTCTTCAGCAGGGACAGGGAAGGTGGTTAAAATTGATGGGAAGATGGATGGAGCCAAATGCAGGACCATTCTGGAAGGAAACCTGATGGAGTCTGCAAAAGATCTGAGACTGGGACGGAGATTTGTCTTCCACCAAGACACTGATCCAAAACATAAAGCAAAATCTACAATGGAATGGTTCAAAACTAAACATATCCAGGTGTTAGAATGGCCAAGTCAAAGTCCAGACCTGAATCCACTCGAGAATCTGTGGAAAGAACTGAAAACTGCTGTTCACAAACGCTCTCTATCCAACCTCACTGAGCTCGAGCTGTTTTGCAAGGAGGAATGGGCAAAATTTAAGTCTCTTGATGTGCAAAACTGATAGAGACATACCCCAAGTGACTTACAGCTGTAATCGCAGCAAAAGGTGGCGCTACAAAGTATTAACTTAAGGGGGCTGAATAATTTTGCACGCCCAATTTTTCAGTTTTTTATTTGTTAAAAAAGTTTGAAATATCCAATAAATTTTGTTCCACTTCATGATTGTGTCCCACTTGTTGTTGATTCTTCACAAAAAATTACAGTTTTATATCTTTATGTTTGAAGCCTGAAATGTAGCAAAAGGTCACAAAGTTCAAGGGGGCCGAATACTTTCGCAAGGTACTGTAACTTTAAACGGATACACTGTGCATTCTACCATTTTGTATTATAGTGCATTACTGTAATATTTGCTGTGCCGCATCACATACTGCAGATGATAATTTCTAGGAGTTATGATAATACTGGAGTCCCTAAAGCAATTGCTGAGACCCGGGAACACTGCAATAAAGTCAGCCAAGTCTAATGGCCAGACGATCACACAGGCTGTAGTCAGAATAGCCAGACATATTTGGAAGAGAAAACAATGGTGAAGGGAAATACTATTACTCAAACCGTCCATAGTAAACACCCCCTTATGAATTCAGCTTTGATTTACTGGCATAGTTAGTTGTGTCCCACATGCACACCACACACTAATTTAGCATTTAACTGGCAGTGCCACTGTAAAGCTGCAGTTTGCTTGCCTTTGCTTCCTTAGCAATGTGAGATTACTAGCAACACTACGGGTATACTCATTTTTGATTTTACCACCTCACACAATGTTAGCTAATTTAGATAAAGTGTGGGTTTGCTGTGTGGGGTTGTTTAAGACATGTATGATCACCTGAACAGTACAGTGGCATTGTATTATAAGTACCTTAAAGTCCAGGTAAAGTAGAAATAAATATGACTTCTGCAACTATTGTCTGACATGTATAATGTGTTTAGAAACAAACCACTGATTTTGCTTTACCCGGACTTTAAGCTATACAACATGAGTTGTCTTCTAAGAGGAAAGACAAGAGTGTCACTGTGCTGCCTTACAACCAAAAAAGGCCAAGAAAAGAAGAAACAAATGAGCTCCCCTTGAACCAAGACTATAATGATGATCCTGTTTTTAATGCACCCAAAGGAAATTTGAGAAGATTTGTTAGGTTCCAACAGCAATCACATTTTATTTGTTAAAGGGTAAATGGGGTGTAATTATTGTAATACATTGCCCTTTGCATTTGGTCTAAATGGGTGATAATTTTCTGGCTGTGTTTCTGCAACTGTTGACTGACTAAACAGGAAATTCTGCTTTTAGTCCATGTAATAAATGGTCTGCTGCTCCTGCTTTCTCTTACTTCTCACGGTTGAAGATCACGAACTCCTGCTGCACCACTTCAAGGCACTCCTGTAGGTAGTCATTCTCCTGCAGGCAGTCAACAGACAAAACATCTTGCTCATCATCAGCATCCTCCTGGTTAACATCAACCTGGTCATCATCAGTGAATCAATCAACTGTGTAACTTCTTGGGTGAAAATGTCTTTTCCCTCACTTTCACTTTGTCTTCATTGCTCTTTTTTAACAAGTCATGAAATGTTTGTGAGCCCTCCTCAGTTTGGATGTTTGGCCTGAGACAAAAATAGAAGCTCATATTTTCAAAAGCATTTGAGGCCATGACAACAGCACTGAAGGCTGCATAATTTAATAATCTCTGTAATAATGGATTATGTGCTGCATGTGTGCACACACATCTCACAACACTGCTATTGTTAGAGGTACACACTCCTTTTGCACGTTGATCAGCGCTGATAACATGTGACACACACAGACAGGACTGACATTAATAACAATGATGTCATGATGACTGTCTGATAGGAACAGGCTGTTTGCCATAAATGAAGAGGGGACATGTTATGTCTGTCTTACATAATGTCTCACTTAAATATAACAAAGCAGAAGAAACAAAGAAGCTCCAGTTCTGTGGATGCAGAATTATAATCCAGGTTTTATCATGTATGTGGTGACTTGTCCAGCTGCACAGCCAGAACTCTGGTATACCCTACTGTACCTGTGTTAACCTTTTCCTATTGTTCAGGATAGAGTATTGTTTTAAAAAGGGTTGAAACTAACCATAATTTTCATTATCAATAAATCCTTTAAACTGTAGAATTTGACATTCAATTCATATCAAACAAACAACTTAAAAAGATTCAGTAAGTGGATTCTGAACTGATTCGGGTTCAATAAAATGTGATCAGATAATAACAGGTAAGGAGAGATTATTCTGTTTAGAAACATTTATGCTTTCCAAGGACCACAACACAGTTAATCAGGGTACTTGCAAGATGTCTGCACCTCAAATGGTTGTACAGTAAGTGATGCAGTTTAGATGAGAACTCACAGACCAGAGACTGAGGTAAACCTGTGCTGCATTGTTATCCCAGATCAGCCCTGCTATGCAGCCAGTAATAATGTGTTCAGACATATGTGAGTATTAATATCCACTTGATAATAATTTTCTTTTAGCACCTACATACTGAAAATACCACTAATCTGATCTGCATGAGGTTATAGGGCTCACATTAACAAGGGAACAGCAAATCATAACATTGTATAATGGCAAATAATACCTTTTACAGGTAAAAGAGCTAAAATTAGCCTTTTCTATCATCAAAGGGAATAATGGCCTTTCAACAAATATAGTTATATCTTGAATTCCACCTTCATCCTCAAAGCCCCTAAATCTTTGTTCTCAGCAGAATCTACAGTAATGCATTTAATTCTGAGGATATACAGACTTCTAATACTTTATCTCTCATATTTAAAGCTAAAATATGGAGGGTGCAGATTATTAGTTCACCTGAGGAGTGTGACCCTATGTTACACTCACATCCTTGTTTTTGTCACTTAGTGGGACTTTTCATAGTTTACAGAAGTAGAGCTATCAAGCTCCTCTCCTGTGGAACCAGCTCACAGTCTTAGTTTGGGAGGCAGACACCCTCTCTACCTTTAAGATTAGACTTCAAACTTTACTTTTTGACAAAACTTATAGTTAGGTTGATATTGTTGTTTTATTATTATTATTGTGTGGATGCTGTAAGACATCCATACTATGTTATCCTATTCTTTATTATTGTGTGGATGCTGTGAAGGATCTATACTATGTTATGGGTAGGGTAGGGTAGGGGGTAGGGCAGAACTTTATTGATCCCACAGTGGGGAAATTCCAGTGTTCCAGCAGCAGTACGGGACAAAAACAACAGAGAGCAAGCAACAAGACACCATAAGAACAGATACCACACACCGATCTTGATAGACAAATTCAGAAAGCACAGAAAGAAAAAAACACAAAAGAGGACAGAGCTACTTGAACTCGCGGCCGCTCCGTGCGGCGCGTCTTAAAAAACAAATCCAGAATGCCCAAAAAACAAGACCATACAAGCATTTCAAAACAGCAAACACCACAAGGATCTCTTAAAAACAAATCAAGAATCTTAAAAAACAATTCGAGAATACCCAAAAAACAAGACAGTACAAGCATTTCAGAGAAAGTCAGGAACAGATATTGCTCTCAGTCAAATCACAGACAAGGCAGTCTGTGGTCAGAGAGGGAGGGGCGGAAGTGTAAGCATTCCTAGCATTAGCATATGGTATGGTCCAGAGTTTTATTGTTCTCTCTGTATGAGGGTGGCAGAGAGGGGGAGGGAGGCATGGCATGGTCGAGGTCCTCGAGATAAGATTTAGGGCCTGCAGGTGCTGTGTCCACTGATACACAGTGCGCAGCAGAGCCGGCCCAGGAATCAGTGGAGAACTATCACCACGGACCACAGATTCTGGAGTCCCGGTGAAGTGCGTGCAGGACCTCTCCTCCTGTACACCCGCTGCAGCTCTGCCAGCGTGGCCAGCTCATCCATCTTGTCCCCCAGCGCCTCACTCCAGCTCCTCTCCCAGCGTTTTGCTCCAGTTCTGCAGACTTGCCCCCACTTTGCACCCCCGTGGGAACCCCAGGCAACTCACAACAAGGAAGCAGCCTGTTGGCAAGCAGAGCAAAAAGTCGAGGCTGTGACACAAGGGTCCCCCCGAGGCAGACTCGAAAGCTCGTAAAAAAGTACAAAACACGATGCAAACGCATTTTTCCCCTATTCAAAATAATAGGAAAATTGTACTTCAGCATACTTTCAGGTAGATACGTATGCCTTTCAGATGTTAAAATGTTCAGCATTTTCAGGGCGATCCTTCAGCACATAGCATCCACACGCATTTTTGACAGGAAATGCATTTCTCTAGGTAGTGTGGATGCGAGCATCCACACTCTTGTTATCTTCTTCTTTATTATTATTATTATTCTGGGGTCCACCACT